CAGCCCCGCCCGCTGGGCGGGTACAAGCCGCGGCGCTTGAGGGTGCAGGGAGAAAGGGGCTGCGAAGTGGGAACCGGTGATGCACAGCCACTGAGCCCCCCGCGTGGGGGGGGTGTGAAATCCCCAACAGCCTCACGCTTCACGTCCGCCCCCGCCAAAAGCGGAATGACCATGCCTACATCTCATAGTTATTCTGTGTGCAACGTGCTCCACATATGGATTCCTGACCCTGCCGGGGATGAGGTCGCTTGTTTTACGCAAAGAGCTAGGTTTTATTAATTTCTAAGGAGTTTTGTTTTCGTTTTGGAGGGCAGAGGGGGAGTCAGTTGTTGCGCGCTCGAGAGACAGAAGCGAGCAGCCCTGCCGAGCTTCTCTTGGCAAGGAAAGACCTTAAGCAGGAAGATTTTTCCTGGTTCCCGTAAGGAAAGCCTAAGTCTAGATGTGCCTGCCATTCTCTGAACGCGTCTTCCTCCGGTCCCCTCAGCCAAGAACAGCTTGTCACCAACACCACTGCATTTTCAGTAGCACGCTGCATTTTTTTCTGCAAGAAACGTGACGCCAGGGCAATAACAAAGGCATAAAACCCAGGGGAAGCCTACCCTTGCCTTACTTTAAACTCAACAAGCCTCTAAAGCCTTTTTCCAGGGCCTAAAGGACATATTTAGTCAAAGCAAGAGGCCTGCCCTTGGGAAACAGAGCCTATTAAGCCCAGCTGGGTGCAAAGACCAGCTGGAAGGGGGCAACCTGATTAGCCCCGAGGAAACCAGCTGGGCTCGTTAGTCTCTAGGAGCCAGGTGACTCTAATCTGGCCCAATTGGGGCTGACCCTCTATATAAAGGCCAGATGGGGCAGGGGAAAGGTTTGGTTTCTTGGTTGGAGGGGGGAAGACTAGTGCAAGGTGTTGAGGGGTTGTGCTCAGCAGAAGAGCTTTGGAAGAGCTCCAGGCTACTGGACTGAGCCTTTTTTTAAACGGAGTTAGAGAGGTGTCACCAGAAGGAAGCCTTACTTTGTAAGTCTTGGGGTTAGGAGTCCCATGCATCCCTTTTAGCCAGTGTCAGGCATCCCTGCAGAGGAAGACTGTGATCTGCTGCTAATGGTCTTGTTATGGCCTTCCTGAAGTTTTGCAGGGACCTGGCTGGCTCTAGGTTACCAAGCAAGGTGCTATGTCTTTGCTCTCCAGGTAGCTGTGCTGGCTTGTGCCCCAGGTTAACCGAGTCTGATGTCCTGCTGACCAGGATGCTTGCTGTGAAATAGATTTTAGAGATAGCTTTGAATTAGGGCAGTTGTTATCCCTGACACGAGTAACCCTGCTCTGCTTGCAGGGATGATGCTTGCCTGGCAAGGCCCCATGTGTTGCCAAGTGCTGCATCTTGCTTAATTGGAGAGACCTTCCCTGCAAACAGGTTTAACCTATGAGCAGGCAATGGCTGTTGCTTAATGGAAACAGTTTTTAGCACAAATTCCCCCTAATGGGCTGTGTTTTGGTCTCTGCCAAGTGATTAAGTGTATATGAAATATGCATGAAATTCTAATTTGTCCTCCTAATATGTGAGGTGCCAGATGAAGTTCAGGAGGGGAGAACTGGAGCCAAGTGGAGGCTGCTTGTATCTGCAGTTACTATAGTTAATGCTGCTAGCTTGGCTCAAGGTTTCTCTTCTCTTTACAGTGACTTCCCTTAAACAGAGCAGCCACTGAAATGGGATGAGAAGATGGTGACTGGAGCTGGCATCACATTGGAGGGTGCTCCAAAGCAGGTACTTGCTCTTGGAGGGTTTCAAGGGACAGAGCAAGGGTGTGAATGCTCCCTTTCTAACAAGGGAGCGGTGGGAAGGACAATATTTTTAGGACTGCTGAGGCAAGGCAAAGGGCTGGGACAGTTGTACTGCCTTGTGAGGTCTACTGAGGTGATGGCTCTGCATAGAGACAATTAGGCAGTGTGTACTGCAGAGCTTCTGGACACCGTGGGGGAGATGTGCTGTGCTCTGGCGTTCCTCTGTGCTGCTGAGCAAAGCTGAGCGCTTGCAAAACCTGCGTGCAAGCACCCCTTCCTGGCAAGTACCTCCTAGCTGCTTGCACCAGGGGTTGAGAAGTTACAGCAGGGCTTTTGCCTCGGCCCAGGTGGCACACTCCCATGGGCTGGAGTCTCTGGCTTGGCAGTGTGTGACAAACAACAATGTTAGTTAAAACTGTGGGTTCCAAAAAAGCACCGGCTGGCCTGGAGATGACTGGCTCCAATGCGTGCATCTCATTTTAGCTACTGGTGCTGGCTGCTGGTGGGCTAGTTGGGAATATCTCAGACCTTTCTGTCATCAGAGGGCTGTAAGTCCCTGCTTTTCAGTCACCAGTGAGGCTGAGCTGCTCTGTGTAGGAAGCTTAACTTCCCCAAGCAGAAATCGCACCCTTCAGCTGTGATGAAATGCAAATAAAAATATTATGTGCTTGCTGACTTGTAATAATGCCTAACACCCAAATGTAATAACAAGTATTAGGACACCATTAGGGCTATTCTTGGTACTGAGTGGGCTTAGGAGTGAACTGTGTGTCTCTATGGGCTTATTCTGTCATGAATTAGCACTTCAGCTATGTGACTTGGGCTGCAGGATGGGTCCAGGCACCTGCTATTAACAAAGAAGTGATGGGGTGAGAACACTTAGTGGCTGCAGCTCAACACTTTGCAAAACTTGAGCTCTGCAAAAAAAGACTCCTAGGCATGGCTCATTTTTCCTGTCTTGGTTTTATATAACTGAAAATGGGATGCTTCAAAACACATGTAGTTCCTAGATATTTTCTGAGTAACCCAGTGGCTACTACCTTAGCTTGACAAGTGAGCGTGCTGGGGTATAACAGGCCTATGTGGCTTTGAATGGCTGCTGAAACTTTGTGTTGCTTATGGCTTGGATCTTGGCTCGAAGAGGAAATGGGCTTAGCGGTGCTGCTTTTCTGGGCTTTGTGCAGGTGCTTTGTGGGCTCCCATCTAGCTGAACTTCTCACCTGAGATGAGGGAGGCAGGGCTGTGGCATGGGGCTGTGGTTAGTGGGAGGGCAGGAGCTGCAGGTGAAAGCTGATGGTGTCTGGAAGGGATCAGACCCTCCAGCTCACAGCTGGTGGAGCAGGGTCCCTCTGCCAGTGCTGGTAGATATGAGGGCTAGCACAAATGTGCCTATGTTCCCTGAGCTAAAATGCTCAGTCACTTGAGGTGGTGAAAGTAGGGTGGAAAAGGCTCTAAGGAGAACCTGGCAGAAAAGAAATTGGCTCAGTGTTCTGTACCTGTTAGCCTGGGGAAACAGGCTGGAATGGGCTGGAGGCGGTTACTGTGTTGCTGCATGCTGATGCAAAAAGTGAAGCCACAGCTTTGTTAGCACAGGGCTGGCACAAAGGTCCTCTAAGGTGAGGTCCCCTTGACAGTCTCCTCTTTCTGTCCTTCGAACCTGCTGTATGCTGTAGCACACAAATGCTTCCCTTTCCCTGCTCCCTGCCTCCCCCAGCAAGGGTTATGCAATAGCCTGGCATCATGGATGAGTCAAGAAGCAATGACTGTGATGGGTGGATATTGCATTCAAGGCACGCTGCATTCCTCGTGCCCTCCCACTATAGCTTCATTACTGTACCTTCTGCTCTGCTCCTAAGCATCTGTTTCCATCCCTGCCATGATATTTTAAAATACAGTCTGTGCCTGCCATAGCACTGCTTGTGGCTTGGACTGCAAATGCCAGGGCCTGAAATCATTGATATGAAACATGGGTGACTCATTTCAGAGAGTGCCAGGCCCCATGTTAATTTTGTTAATATTGAAATAATCTGGTAGCAGAGTTGTTTTCTCTCTGCTACCACCAACAGAGCTCTCCTTGTGCCGTTTCTAGAACAGAAAAGGGTATTGGGGGGGCATACTGGAGTAGA